GGAAGGAAGGAAGGAAGGAAGGAAGGAAGGAAGGAAGGAAGGAAGGATAGCAGAATAAGAGTTGGAAGTGACCTTGTAGGTCATCTAAAATCAACCCCCACTCAAGCAAGAGACCCTGCACCATTTCTGACCAATGGCAGTCCAGTGTCTTCTTGAAAGTCTCAAGTGATGGTTCTCCCACAACTTCCGAGGGCAACTTCTGTTCCATGGGTTGATTGCTCTTGCTGTCAGAAAGTTTCTCCTTATTTCCAGGTTGAATCTCTCCTTGATCAGTTTCCATCCATTATTCCTTTTCTGGCCTTTGGATGCCTTGGAAAATAGCTTGAACCCCCCCTCCTCCTCTCTGTGGCAGCCCCTCAAATCTTGGGAGCACTGCTCTCCTGTCTCGCCTGGTCCTTTTCTTCGCGTGACCAAGGGGATGCGGCAACAGTTATAAGTGTGAAAGGAGGACATAAGAGAAGGGCATCAGAGCAGGTTTCCAATCTTACCGAAATAATGTCCTTTTTTCTAAGCGGAGAGTTTGAGAATCCAAAATGCTGCTGTCCTGGTGTAGTACGAGTGGCTGCAGGCATAAAAGGAGAGAAGCCGTCACATTTAAAGGCTGAAGGAGTTGAGAACTTCCAAGGTCGCTGCTGAAGAGGTGAGACTTTTACTCCACTGAAGGCATCTGGAGAGGCCTAAAGCAGAGATTCCTGACCAGTGTTTGCCTTCTGTCAATTGAATTTAAAGCCCATTAAACTATTGCAAAAATAAACAGTGCATTTTGGTTGTAGTTTCGATCAATCAGAACAGAGCTGGAAGGGACTAGTCCAATCCCCTGCTCAAGCAAGAAACCCTAAACAATTTCAATCAATCAGTCAGTCAATCAATCAATCAATCAATCAATCAAACAAACAATGAATCAGGCAGACAGTTAATCAATCAAACAAACAAACAATCAATGAATCAGGCAGTCAGTCAATCAATCAATCAAACAAACAATAAATGAATCAGGTAGTCAATCAGTCAATCAATCACACAATCAATGAATCAGGCAGTCAGTCAGTCAATCAATCAATCAATCAATCAATCAACCAATTGGAATAGAGCTGGAAGGGACTTTGGAGGTCTTCTAGCCCAACCTCCTGCTCAAGGAAGAGACTCTAAACAATTTCTATCAATCAATCAGTCAGTCAGTCAATAAATCAATCAAACAATCAATGAATCAGGCAGTCAGTCAATCAATCAATCAATCACACAATCAAGGAATCAGTCAGTCAGTCAGTCAGTCAGTCAATCAATCAATCAATCAATCAATCAACCAATTAGAATAGAGCTGGAAGGGACTTTGGAGGTCTTCTAGTCCAACCGTTGCTCAAGGAAGAGACTCTAAACAATTTCAATCAATCAATCAATCAATCAATCAATCAATCAATCAATCAAGTTGCCCAGGTTGGAGACCCCTGCTCTAAAGTGCTCTTGGGGTGGTATATAAGCCCAAATGCTATTCCTCTCTCTAATCTCTGCATTACTCTTGGAAAAAAAGTAGCCTAAAAATGAATTATTATTATTATTATTATTATTAAAACAAATAATAATTCAGTACCTTGTCCCCGCCGATTAAAAAGAGGTCGACGGCAGCCATGCTGATCCGCTGCTTTTCGCAGAAGCCGGAGAGCACCTCTTTGATGGAGGCCCCACCTCGGACGGGCATGACCGAAGTGGAGCCATCTGGGAGGTGGACGTGGCAACTCTGAGGGGGCTTCTCTTTTGTGGTGGGGGGTCCCGAGGCTCGGCAGGGCTCACCCTTCGGAGAGAAAGGGTTACTGGTAAATTGAGCGGGGAATTTAAACAAAGTGGGGTGTTTTTTTTTAAAGCGAACAGCAACACATTTAGAACACGGAACACGGAATAACAAGAGTTGGAAGGGACCTCGGAGGTCTTCTAGTCCAGCCCCCTTGCATGAGCAGGAGATCCCATACCATTTCAGACAACGGTTGTCCTATCCCTACTTATAAACGTCCACCAAAAAAGGCACCAGGTCTTATTTTGGGGGGAGGATGTCATCTACTGACTAACCTCACTTGGGCGCATCACCCCCAACCTCCTTTTCGCTGTCAGAGGCCTTCAGGAACTTCTTCTTCTGCGGCCGGCAAGGCTTTCCTGAAGGCCTCTGCAGCTGATAACAGAGCTTTGTTATCCAGAGCTTTGTTATCTGCTACAGATCCAGAGCTTTGTTATCTGCTACAGAGGCCTTCAGGAAACCTTGGCCGGCTGCAGAAGAAATGGGCCGGCCAGGCAGGTGTCGGGATGTGTGATGCCTGGCTACAACTGTCCAAAGGTAAATAGTAGAGCAGCTCCACCCCACCCCCCCATAGCTTAATTTTTACCCATCTACTCTGGAATGGGTGGAATCTTCATCAGGGCTTATTTTGAGGGTAGGGCTTATATTGGGCGCACGTGTAAAAAAATCAAGCTAGGGCTTACTTTTGGGCTAGGTTGTATTTTTGGGGAAACAGGGTAGTTTGACTCTTTGTGGCAGCGCCTCAAATGCTGGAAGACCGCTATGATGTCCCCCCTAGACCTTCTTTTATTTAAGCTAGACCAGTGGTGGCTAACCTTTTTGGGTTCCTGTGCCAAAAATTGTGCGTGCGCTGGTACGCGCATGCTTGCATGCCAGCACCTAGAAGGCAATGTGCACCCCCCACAACCCCTGCGCATAACTGCACAATCCCCCCGCTGCCCCTGCCTCCACCCCCTTACCTGTTCTGCACCTCACAGCTGATTTTCAGCCGGTTTGAGGCCTTTTTTGGCCCCCCGGAGGCTTTAAAAAAAGCCTCTGGGAGGCCGAAAAAGGCCTCAAACCAGCTGTGAGGCGCGTGCATGCACAGTAAGTTTGCCCACGGCTTGCGTGCTGGTACAAATGGCTCTGTGTGCCACCTGTGGCATGCGTACCATAGGTTCGCCATGACAGAACTAGACAATAGTTATCATCATAGTTCATCCTCATGCACATTTTCAGTCCAAAAAGGGCAAGTCTTACCATCTCCAGACTCGCAGCTGAAGACAAGGAATCTTGTGATTGATGTCGATAGGAGAGCTCACCAGGCTGAGAAGACTCTGGGGAGAAATATTCCGTCAGAAAGTCTCAATTAGCTGAGGTTGAAACCTCACAATCTTCCTCAGCAGTCGAGAATCAGCTTTCGAGATTTCTCTGCTTAAATCTCTGAATGAAATCTAGTCTCTACCGGTTTTAATTCACTAATTGTACAAAAGTATCAGAAGTCTGTTCCCTAAAAAAATGAACCAATGTGGCTGCGACTGACATTCTGGATGCTTTCTAACTCTCCCTTCTGTCTCCGTATACAGGTGGTCCTCGACTTACAATGGTTTGCTTAGTGGTCGCTCGAAGGGACAACTGCCTTGAAAAAAGGGACTTATGACCATTTGTCACACTTAATGACCATCGCAGCATCTTTACGGTTGTGTGATTTATATTCGGATGTTTGGCGAGTGGGTTTTTTTTTAAAGTTTGAACTACCTTCCCAATGTTGGCTCAAAAGTGGGTCTGGTTCCTTCCTTCCTTCCTTTCATCCATCCATTTCTTCCTCTCTCCTTCTTTCTCTTTTCTTCGCCTTCCTTCCTTCCTTCCTTCCTTCCTTCCTTCCTTCCTTCCTTCCTTCCTCTCAGAAGCCTTCTTTGCTCAGAATCCTTTCATCATTCCATCCATCCTTTTCCTTTCTTCCCTTCTTCCTTCCTTCTCTCTCCCTCCCTTTACTTCCTACCTTCCTTCTCCTCCCTTTTCTTCTTTCCTTCCTTCCTTTCCATTCCCTCCCTCCCTCTTCTTCCTTCCTCCCTGTCCCTCTCTCCCTCCCTCTCCCTTTTCTTCTTTCCTTCCTTCTCCCTCCCTCCCTCCCTTTCCTTCCTTCCTTCTTCCCCTCCCTTTCTCTCCCTTTTCTTTTCCTTTCTTCTCCCTCCCTCCCTTCCTCTTTTCTTCCTTCCTCCCTGTCCCTCCCCTTCCTTCCTTCCTTCTTTCCTTCCTTCCTTCCTCCCTCCCTCCGAATCCATCCATCTATCCATCTCTCTCTCTCTCTCTCCCCCGTGGCCTCATTTTTGGATTTTAAAACTCACCTTTGAGGCAACTGCCATTCTCCTTCTTCTTCTGTGACCTCCCCAAACTCTTGCTTCTCGACCAGGAAAAGAAAGTCCCTTTTTTCTTTTTCTCGCCATCTTCTTCTCCAGATTCTTCATTTAAGGAGCGCCCAGACTTGGCTTTTCCACCTAACTATCAACAAGTGCAATTTTTTTTTAAAAAAATCCCTTCCGCGAGGATGGTTTCTTTCATCAGAATTAGTGCTCGTATTGGCTGGTTCTGCTGCCTGTCCTACGCACAGGCCCCACCGTTACACCCTTGCAGCCGAGACAAACTAACAAGGCACGTCTTGACTGCCTTCTTGATAAACAAGTAGCTGTCAGAATAACAAGAGTTGGAAGGGATCTTAGAGGTCTTCTAGTCAACCCTCCGCTCAAGCAGGAAACCCCGTACTACTTCAGACAAATGGCTGTCTAACCTCTCTTTGAAAACCTCCAGTGATAGTGCACTCACAACTTCTGGAGACAAGCAGTTACACTGGTGGATTGTTCTCACTGTTAGAAAGTTTCTCCTGATTTCCAGGTTGAATCTCTCCTTGGTTAGTTTCCATCCATTATTCCTTGTCTGGCCTTCAGGTGCCTTGGAAAATAGCTTGATCCCCTTCCTCCTCTCTGGGGCAGCCCCTCAAATATTGGGAACACTGTTCTCCTGTCTCCCCTGGTCCTTCTCTTCCCTAGACTGGCCAGGCCCAGTTCCTGCAACCGTTCATTGCATGTTTTAGTCCCCACTCCCCTCATCCTCCTGGTTGCTCTTCTCTGCACTCTTTCTAGAATGTCAACATCTTTTTTTTTCGTCCACACTAGTATGTACCAATATTTTAGCTAATGCATTTTTACTTGTTTTTTTTTTAAAATTTGAACCACCTTCCCAATTTTGGCTCAAAAGCAGGTCCAGTTCCTTCACAAGCCTCTTGTGGGGATTCACTCACTCGTATACTTCTGAACCAGGGTGTGTTATTTCTCCATGTCATATAACATAGGTGGATACATACATCGTTTTGCATTTATTTACTTATTAGCTGGATAGGTTCTCCTGGCTGAGCAGGGAGTTAGACTAGAAGACCTCCAAGGTCCCTTCCAACTCTATTCTGCTTGTTTAGCTGGATACCTGTGCTTCGCTACAAAACTATGTGATAGGGCTTAGTTTTGGGGGAGGAAAATAAGGGGGAAAAATTCTGCCTCTGCCTACCAGAATCCATCAGTATTCATCTGGCTAGCTTCCTGTCAGTGTGTGAGAGAGTTGAGGGTGGTTTGGAAACTGAAAGAGTATTTGCTGTGTGAGCAAGGAGACAGCAAGGAGCCTAGGCGTGGCTTAGCTCAACTGTTCTGTACTAAAGCTGCTTGGTGCTCTGAGACTACAACTGAAACTCCTCTCCTCTGCTTGTGTTTTGCATTTGGAAAAGATTTCTTTTCAAGTGGGGAGAGGAAGTAGAACTCCTTAGCATCAGAGCGTGTTAATAATAATAATATAGGAAATACTCTAAATGCTCTGATGGTCATTTGGAAAAATCCTTTCTTAGTGAGCCCCTAGAAGCCAAGAGGAACCTACGTACCAAATTTCAAGTTTGTAGGCTTTACGGTTCTGGAGATTTTGTGATGATGCATAGTGGTATTTCACTTTTATATATATATATAGATTTTGTCATGTGTATGTTGTATACATTGGAGGTGGTGAGGACTGCACGCCACAAAATTTCATTTTAATATATGCCGATTAGTATACATTCAAAGTGACAATAAAGTTATTTATTCCATTCTACACCAGCAAGAATTGGGTTTGTTTCAACTGTACATCCTAAAAAGATAGATACCTTTCTCGAAGTGGAAACACTGAACATTTCAGGACCGAAACTGGACTTCAGAGTAGGGCTGTTTGGAACCCACTGTGGATCGGGGACCGGACGGCCTTCCACTTCGGCTAACACGCATTGTTGGTAAAACGGAGACTTCAGAAAGCGTGCATAGCTGTCAAACTTCATCAAATTGAAAATCTAGAAGACCAAACAGAGTCCTGTTAAGACAGAATTCAATATGGGTTTCACAAGTGGCAGAGTTTGTCTCCCGGGGAAAAAAATAAAACATTTTAAAATCAACTAGCTGGATACTCGTGCTTCACTACGAAACTATGTGGTCGGGCTTAGTTTTTGGGGAGGAAAATAAGGGAGGGGGGCGGAATTCTGCCTCTGCCTTCCAACATCACCTGCCTAGCGTCCTGTCAGTGTGTGAGAGAGTTGAGGGCTGTTTGGAAACTGAAACCGTATTTGCTGTGTGAACAAGAAGGAGACAGCAAGGAGCCTGAGCATGGCTTAGCTCAACTGTTCTGTCCTAAGGCTGTTGGTGCTGCTGTGAAATTGAAACTGAAACTCATCTCCTCCGCTCGTGTTCTGCATTTGGAAGAGATTTCTTTTTTTTTCAGGTGGGGAGTGGGAGTAGAACTCTTTAGCCTCAGAGCGCGTTAATAATAATAATATATGAAATACGAATGCTCTGGTGGTCATTTCAAAAAATCCTTTCTTAGCGAGCACCTAGAAGCCAAGAGGAACATCATACGTGCCAAATTTCAAGTTTGTAGGCTTTATGATTCTGGAGATTTTGCAATGATGTGTGAGTGGCATTTCGCTTTTATATAGATTTATTATTATTTATATCTTTGGGGAATAATTGGAGTAGCTAAAGGGGAAGTTGAAGAGAATTCTAACTAAATTGCCTCTTCTAATATGACTTGGCCTTTTGAAATGTTTGAAAGAGACGCTACAGGTAAGAGAATTTAAGAGAAATTTAAGGGAACTTCTACTTCCATCTGTTCATTTAGTCACCACTCAAAGTTACAACGGCCCCGAAACAACTTATGACCGTTTTTCAAATGTATGATCATTGCAGCATCCCTGTGGTCACATGATCTGAATTCGGACGCTTGGAGACTGTCTCATATTTATGATGGTTGGGCTGTCCCCAGGGGGTCTCCTGATCCCCTTTGGCAACTTTTACCGATAATGGGGAATCCAAATTCACTTTAACAACCGTGTTCCTAACTTAACAAAGGCAACGATTCCCTTAACCACTGTGGCAAGGAAGGTTCATACAATGGGGCGAACCATTTGACAAAGGTTTTGCTGAACGACCGAAATATCCATCTCAATTGGAGTCGTAATCCGAGGACTAGCTGAACCCATGCTTCCCTGAAAATAAGACCAGGTCTTATATTAATTTTTGCTCCAAAATATGGATTAGAGCTTATTTTCCCATAAGGTCTTATTTTGGGGGAAATACATTACTAAAATGCATCAGTCTGGCTGATGTTCTTAACTGGGGCTTATTTTGGGGGTAGGGTTTATATTACGAGCATCCTGGAAATACATGCTAGGGCTTATTTCCAATTGGCTCTTCTTTGGGGGGAAACGGTAGTTCTGGCAGTTCTTTTCTG